AGCAACTGCCAGTCGCCCTAAATAGAGAAGATCTTTGACCCTCAGTGGTAAACTATTGTAGATAATTTCTCATATTAGACCCTAAATTCTAACCCTATTTTTATATTAGGCCCCCAAATCCTCATATTTGAAATTTAATAGCCCCAAATCAGTTAATTTGTTTTAAGTAGCACTCCCATTTTAAAGAACTTAATGAATTTGGGGGTGTGAACTACAAATACGAATATTTGGGGGGCTAATATTAAAATAGAACATAATTTAGGGTCTAATAAGAGAAAACCCAGTAGTAAATTCAGTAGTGTATAGGAACCCAAGGAGTAGAAATACACTACATTTGAAGGGAGTAGAAGCACTAAAACTTAAGGTGCTAACCTTATGCAAAGATGTTCCTTGTTTCTAAATGAGGTAACTAACCATAAAAATATCAAATGTAAGAGCCACATATGACAGAGATCTTCTTAATAGATGCATGAAGGCTAAAGAGCCAAGAGGTGAACATATTTAATGCAAGTGACACCATAGCCTAAACCAAAAGCAGCCTTGTCTCCAGAAACCAAATTTATCATGAAAACTCTCATAATCAATACTAAATACTTCCCACAAAAATCCCTGCCTTCTGATAGGTAACACGTAATGAGGAAAAAGATATTGAATTAGTCTTGTTTTGAGAAAACGATGCGTTTTTTTTGTTGGGGCGGCGGTGGGGGGGGGGGAATATCCACTTGCGTTTGTCAGATGCCCCAGCAATAAATGTAGAAGGTGAGCTCATGCATGTCAACAAACATCGACATCGTCTAATATGAATTCAGATATCCAAATAAGAACATAAAATCAACTAGAAAACTTTAGTGCATCAATTAATATGCCCGCAAATGTAAGATTAAGGGCTGTTTGGTTACCCAAAAACCCAAAGAAAACTATTATGGGAAATCTATTTCCTATAATGCTTTTTTTTTCTTTGTCTGGTTCTTACCTTAAAATCAAGAAGGTAGGTAATATGGCACCTTCCTAGAGGATGATGTGACCTATACTTAGGAAACCCGTTTCATGAGTTTCTTTTAAGAAATGAGAGGAAACATTTTTTTGTTTCCTCCCATATTTTCTTTTTTTTCTCCTTGGTTTTTAAGAAACCAACCAAACACGCCCCTAGCAAAATTCTTCTTCTGAAACCAAAGTTCTCAGAAACAGCCCTGGTAAGATTCAAATAAATATTTTCTTCATTAATGCCCCCTGTCTCTACCAACTCTTCAACCCTCAACATAATAGCTACCCAAGGACCTCATCTAACATCAATCCATCGGTATTCGGTATGACTCTAAATGACACAGGACGGTACAGACAGTTGTACCCGAGATAGTATTTGCCAGCCAGTAATACACTCCTACCATTTAATCCCATTTTGTGGATGACAACCATCCAAAATGGAGTACAAAATTAAAATATAATAGAGTTTAAAGCAATGAAGCACAAGTGGAAAAAGTTGTGGATAACATATTTCCATATATAGATGTTGTCTAATTTGGGTGTTGCAGAACTTAGACACCAGTTGAAATATACTAGATTTCGAGTGTACAAGGCAGTATGGATTCAGATTCAGTAGGGACCGATAAATAACTATTTGAAGTGGGGAATGTCCTCCACAGAAACAAGCAGATTAGATTTACTTGCTACACAAGTGGTCCAGTAAGAGAAATTCCAAATCGAGATTGTCGTGTTCTATCAAAAGAGAAACCATTATTTTGATACAAGTGTTGGAAGATAGATACCAAACTATGCTCATCCTTGGGTGTTCACACCTCCAAGGACCAGAAAGTTATAAGAAGAGGAGTTTATGATAACAGATGGATTAGAGGGTCCAGGATAATGAGCATTGAGCAGAATTCCACTAACATTTTGGACCTAATAGATAGATTCATTTATGTCACTTAGGACTTTTGGTTTTCCTGTAGTTGCCCGGCAGTTTTGCTAATCATGTTCCATTCTTTGTATTGTTGACACATCAACTTTTTCTTTTTTGTGGTGAGAAAATCTAGGTTTTCAGATATAACTACAGGAAGGAGTGATGAGCCCCTATGTGAATGTTTGTCTATGGCTCTACCAAAATATTCTCAATAGCATGTAAATCCAACTTTCTTCCTATACTTGCAAAAGGCAGTGAGAATGTAATCATTCTCTCAAATTCTCAAATTCCCACTCTTTGTTATGGTTAATCCTCTTAATTCTCAGCCCTGAATAGTACAATACTGAAGCCTAGATATGTAATTGTTCTCTTATGTTCAGGTACAAATTTTTTGTAATGAGAGTGAAGTCACCATGGTCATACTACAGACGAAGGGATGAATGCCATTCATTAAATACGAGAAGAGTCATTTACAGAACCAAATAAATCCTCAAGACAACAAACTGCTTCATTGAGACATTTATCATCAAACCCCACATTTCGTTTTTCACTTAAAACCCCATACTTCAGTGTTTCACGACGACACAACACCATAATGCCCCAAGGGCCCTCATTTAGCATACATGCGTGTGAACTTTATGAACTGGGGCAGGTACAGGTGTATTCAAGCATGTACTTGCCAAGCCATAGCAATTAGAAATTTAAATTGTTTGCCTCAATGATTATGCACGAAAGTTTCAGAATATCAGAGAGGATATCAAGTTGGATATATCTAACATAGAACGATGGAGAGATGGGAATGCATTGAGCATGACATGGGCTGATTAAGAATACACAGTGCGCATGCTAGGTAATTATCCAGTGATTTGGTCGTGTAATAACCTCTGATCATCACTATTGAGGATAGTCCTTGAAAGGCTCTTCCACTATTTCTTTGGAGTCTAATAGCATGAAACACCATCATCGTCGTCATCATCATCATCACCACCACCACCACCACCACCAACGAAGTGACGCTAGGAGAACTTTTAAGAGACCACCGGCACCAATGCAAAGTTCAATGCTTTGAATTGACAATATCCTCCATGTAGTAAGACGATATTCGCCGGCTCAGAAGTATCTTAATACAGTAAAATGAGAGATTCTAAGGTGGTAAGGACAGACATTATCATTTAAAAAAACAGTGTCAATCTATAATACTGTCATATAAAGAAAGTCCAATAAGTATGCAGATTATGAAAGCATTTTGCAAATTGAATGTATAGGAGCATGTAATTGGAGGGTTAGGGTTGATGGTCAAAGAGGATTTTTGTTAAGGGATATTAGTGTGACCGGACCCAAAAGATCATTAAGCAGCTAGAGTCGGTTTGAAAGGACATCAGATAATGTTATATGCATTCTAGATTTCAGGAGGTGACTTCAGAACTACAGCATACCACCAGACAATTAAAACATACCAAGTAAAGTTTAAGAAGATTGATCAGGTTTAAAATTTTCTAACAATAACAAATCTGCCAAAGAACTACATATCTTTTGCGAACTTGCATATAAAGGATCGATGTCTCGAACTCTCCTTGAAATAAAACTCCTTCAATCTCAAAGATGCCTCAAAAAGAGGGTTGCCTTCAAGCACTTAACTCTAAGTTTGCTACCCTGCATCAACAAAAAGTGCAGATGTTAGCAAATCGTAGAGTGTTTGAACCATCAACAATGCCCAAAGACCAATATGATGAGAAATGATGTTAGCATGACAATATGAAGTTTGTGGAAGTCATTGAGAAATACAGCATCAGATGTTCAAAAGGGCATATCCTGTTGAACTACTCATATACATACAAACTGCATTAGCACTGTATTTGAACACTGCACCAGGTTAGTGCAACTCAAACCAACCAATTTAATAACTTGGATCCAGGCATTTCAGGCTCGTTTGAAACTGAATGATTAGAAACTTTGTGCTGTACTTGGAAACGAAATCTGTAAGCATAAGTACCTGGGTTAACTTTGGTCAAGCAGTTATTCTAACCATTACTGACAACATGTTTCATACGGCATTCCGGCTATCTAAGCAAATTTATGCCTAATGATTTCAAGATGGATAATAGATAACTAATCTGCAAGTTGAATACGTCCAGACTAAAATCCTCAATCCTCACTAAAAGGACATGATCCAGAGGTTACTTATCTGATATGGCACAATTTAATCCCACATATGTTCTACACAGGGGTTTCCTTTC